TCATAGGATGTGGTTCAGAACTTGTACTCTTTTTGTTGTTGTTGTTGTTTTCTCTCTCTCTCTTTGAACATGCTAGTTACACAATATCATATCAACTAATTCTGGTACGGTATAAATTGTTACTGATGTAATGTCGGGGCTTTCAATTGATTGGGATGATACTCTTTCGGCTGTACCTTCAGACCAGAGACTGTCGTCTCCCCATGAAACTGTTGAACTTATCTGCACAATAAGATGCTGGACTCTATGTTTTGTAGATGCTTGCAATGAAAAAAAAAATCTCAATTGAATTTGATCTGTGGTAATGCAACAAGATGGAAGAATCCACCATGGGGGGTGGGGGAAGAGGGCTTTGGGGAGGGGAGGGGGGAATCCCAGTGCCTGTAAAACTGTGTCTCATGATGCAATGTAATAAAAAAAAAAAATTCAGTGGCAAGTCTCCATAATAGAATGAATGAAGCAGAAGAAAGAACTCAGAATTGTAGCATATTTCTTATCATAATGAATAAACAATCAAAAAGCTGAAAGCAGAGCTGGATTAAGCTAAACAGAACTATTCAAAAATTAAGAGACACTATTAAAAAGGCAAGCATAAGAGTTATGGGAGTTCTAGAAGCTGCAGAAAGCTGAATTCAATTAAATAATATATGAAGACTTTGTTAATATGGAGAAAAATTGGGAAACAACATCCAGGAGGGGCACAGAACTCGCAGCAGAGCTGACCAAAAGCGATCTTCACTAGGACACATGATAATCAAGCTTTCTTCAGTTGAACATAAGGAAAAGATTCTTAAATGTGCATGTGAAAAAAAATTAATTAACCTATACAGGAACAGCAGTCAGCCTCACAGTTGACCCCTTACAGGAAGCTCAACAGGGCAGAAGACAATGGAGTGACATATTCCAGATTCTAAAAGAAATTGTCAGCGCAGAATCATGTACATAGCAAAGCTTTCCTCTCTCTCTTTGAAATTGAAATAAAATACTTCAGTAAAGAAATGTCAAAGAGTTGGGCCTTGGGGTTGGGGGCAACTCCAGCTGCCTGTAGTGTGGTGGCTGTGGGGGGGGTGCCCCTGCTGGGTCGGGCCCAATGCTGGGGACTCATGCCAAAGACACTGCCGGAAGGCAGTGACTGAGTTCTTGGCTTTGGGTGGCCAGTGCACCAAGTGGTGCCAGGCTTTGCCTGCTGGCTGCCCGGCGGCAAGCTCTGGGTTTTTTAAGATACATGGTTGCTGCCTGGGGACACCCATGACTAAGGCTAGTTTTAGTGTAGGTGAGAAGTGAATTTTGGGTGATTCCCAGTGACAGAGTCATGAAAGTTTCAAGCATGCATGAGGACTGAGACCTGGTGGTTTGGAGGGATGTATCCAGAATATAATTTGAGTTAGACAGATTCACCAGTCCAATTAGAAATCCTGAGATGGGGGAGTGACCTGGGAGGGAAATAGTGGGCTCCTCCCTCTTGGGTCATCACCTTCCATGGGAGGGCATGGGAACTAGCACAGGGGCTGGGGTGGCTAGACAGATACCCAACAACATCCGTTAGGGCTGGTTGGATGAGATGGTTGGATGGAAGTAGGTTGCAACACCCATTGGCAAGTATATGAACAGAAGGGTATTTGGGACAGACTGGACTAGTATGCCATACATACTGGCAAGCCAGGGTAGGGGGTGGGCCTGGTTGGGGTTACTGTGGGCTGCCCTGACTGGGCTGCAGCTCCTACTGGTACGTATGAGGGCCAAGTGTGTCTAGGGCGGAACCAGGCTGGACTGTAACACCCATTGGTTCCAGTGGAGGGCACGGATGGAGACAGAACTGACCCAGCAACTGCAACCACCAGCTGATCGGGGCAATGGACTGTGCCGGGCCCTATGCTTACTAGAACACGCAGGAATCTGGACTGGGAATACTTCAAAATTTCTTTGAGGATCTCCCCAGTCGAGACACCGGACTCAGAGTCCTAACCAAGAAAAGACAGAACAAGTCAAGCAACAACCTCAGCTATCTGTTGGCAGCAAAATACTGGGCAAATGGAGACTCTAGAAGGGACTGTGTCAATCAATGGACTCTTCAACAACCACATCGTGTTTGGAGTGGCGAGACTGGTAGCAATCCATGCATGAATGGTGAACTATTGGAACCACCTGATCGAGTATCTCAGAGCACGCCCCACATCCGGGACTTAGGGTGGGTGGGAAACTGGGTGGGGCTTCTTCCTCTATATCTCCCTTTACCTCAAATACATGAAGGAAGCGGTATGGAAGTGATGGTCTTGCCCACTTCCCTGTAGCCCTTGAACCTTTTTTACCCCAATTAAATATGTAAGGATTGTCAAAATAAAATAAATAAATAAATAAATAAATAAATTGTATTACTTGAAACAAATGGTTTCAGGTAGACAAATACCATATGTTCCCTCTGATTTCAGGTAACCTTCATGTAAAATGCAGAATAAATAGACATCTAGGTAGACTTGTATATACATATATTTATCTAGAGCAACTATATAATGCATCTAATATATTGAGAATTGAAGACATATTGCAATATGAATCTCTGATCCCAAATGAAAGGAGAACCCCAAATGGAACTACTAAATATATCTTGACAATAACATGCTGGACTTTCCACCATTATCTATACCCACAAGTTCATGTCACACTTAAATAGCAGAATGATGAATTTGAGACTGTAGCTGAAGGACTACTCAACACTTCCAACACATGAATCTTAGTGACATACACTTAATATCCAAAAATAGCAAGCATGTGGGATAATTATGTATTTTCAGTTTTTCTAACAATCCAAATATTATCATATAATCAAGCTATAAACAATATACTGAGGTGGGTTGGGCATGCAAAGCAGAACTCTGCTTCATCTGCCAATCTTGGCTGATGGGCAGAGGAAGCAGCCCAGTCCTGCTGCTTCTTATGCAGCTGGTATCAACTCTATTCTGCAGGTGGCCAGTGTGCCCTTTGGGCGCCGAGCTTTGCCTGCTGGCCATTCCCCCACCCCAATGAGCTCTGGGGATTTGGGGTGATGAAATATTGCTTAGGGACATCCATGGATACAGACACCATATGTGAAAGTGAGGAATGAATCCTGAGGGACACCTGTCAACAGGGCCACTGTACTGGCTGGTAAGTGAGAGCTGGTGGTATGCAGGGGAGAGGCTGAAGATGTGAATGATCAGACTGATTCACCAGCCAACATGGGAGTCCTGAGATGGTCTTGTTAGTGCAGGGTCTCACTGACCACCACATGCCATACCACATGAAAGCTATGGCTGGGGGCCTGTCTAGCAGACCTAGATCCAAGTACCTTGTTGAGTGTTTGAACAGGGGACAGGTCACATTAGGCAGGGCCATGACACTAACCAGCACGTGAGAGAACCAGGTCCGGGGTAGATTATGTGAGGGGCAAGTGATGAGCATGAGAGCTGGGTTGGGGGCAGACCAGGCCAGGCAGGGTCACATCCAATGGCCTACATGTGAGCTGGACCATGGAGAAGCCAGGCTGGGCTGACTACCTTCTGGCACATGCAAGCCAGTGTTGCTGAGGATTGATTGGGTTTTGCCACAGCATAGCTAGCAGATGCTGGCACAGCAGCCAAATTCTGTCAGGCACAGGTATTTCTTAGACAGATGGTGGCACTCCCTGGCCCCAGTGTGGACTGGGTAGTAGGGGTGGTTGGGACGAATTGAGCTTCAATTCCCATCAGCATGTACGAGAGCTGAATGCAATGTGGGACAGACTGGACCAGTCTACTGTACATATTGGCAAGCATGGGAACCAAGGAAGAGGCAGACCTAGTGGGGTTTTTGTGAGTTGTTCCAACTAGACTGCAGCTCCCACTGATTTATGTGAAGGCCGAGTATGTGGCAAGCAGGATTGGACTGGGCTCCAAACCTTCTGGGTTGTGTAGAACACAGGGCTGAAGACAGAACTGACCTAGCAATTGCAACTACCAGTGTGTGCATAGGCTGATGTGAATGACAGACTGTTCCGGACTCTGTCTTGGCAAACACACACAAAAATCAGATCTGGGATGGCCTCACATAAGGTTTCTTTGGTGATTTCCTACCAACTGAACTGCTGGACTTAGAACCCTAACCATGGAGAGAATTTCAGTTTCCATGGACTGACTGTGGGAGCAGATATGTCAGAGCTGGGCCTCCTCACTGGCTCAGACAGAGCAGTGGACAGCATACCCAAATGTACATTGAGGATATGGCAGTACAGTGGAGCCTTCAGAGGACATCTGGTACCACGGAAGAGAATAGAGGACAGAAAAAATTGATCAACAACCCTAGCCAATCAGTGGCATTGAAGATCTGGGTATGTGGAGACACTAAGTTAGACTATAGCAGCCAGTGGATTCGGGAGAGATTTCATTGTGATTATAGCGGCAGGATCGCCAGCAATTCAGGACTATTGAGCTAACTATATACTGAATCATACATCCCTCTCCCCAGAAAATTCTCTTGCAATTCTCTCAGTGAAACCCATTAACAGGGCTTCTTTTTAAATCCCTCATACATGGGAGTAGCACTTTCATACAATGAGTCAGGGAGTTTCCTCATTTTCTTTGTGCTATGAAAAGTTGAAACAAGATGTTTTCAAGCTACTGTCTATATGAAGGCTCTTATTAGAACTTCGGCATGGTAGTATTCTCTTCATGAGCTTTCAGTATCCAGAAACGTAAATAATAAAATAATTTTATTAAACATACAGTGTAAGTAGAACTTAAGAGTGTTTTTGCTGATTTAAAGACAATTTCAATAGATCACATGCTGTTATATATGTCAATGAATGTTGTATGTGTTAATCTACAAATATATATAGATGATAAAGTGGAATAGCACAATAGCCATAGGATATAAAAAACTGCTCATTATTCTAAAATCCATGTTATAAAAAAGCCTCCATTTTCAACAAATTGCTCATCGCATTCAGAGAAAACGATTTTAAAAGTGCGTTGAAATTAGCAACTGACCTGACACCTCCAGTTTCCAGGTGGCCTCTTCTTGATGAGTTTTAGAATTGAACCAGCATCCATAAAAGCCAGCATCTGAGGGAGTGACTTTCTTTAGCTTCAGGGACACGATTCCATTTATAATGCCATCCTTCAGCATCTCAGTTCTTTTCTGAAACTCTGCCATCTGCACATTTTCTTGATCTTTCCCTTCCTTGTAGAGGTGGACTATGGCAGAGAACCGATTCCTGAAGAACCGCACTTCCATGGCCTCTGCATTTGTCTTAGGAGAGAGTGAGCATGAGAACACCACATCCTCTCCCACGAAAGCCTTGATGGAATTCTGTGGCCCGATCACCTGCCATTGGCCTGTGGGAGAAAACACAAAGATGGTTAAGCAAAATCCGTGTCAGTGTGTCCTACCGAGGGCTGCAGTGAACTGGTGACGTATGTAGACAGACTGTTATCATGATCTTTTTAAACCAAGTGGCTCTTTCCTGTTTCTATTCATACTGTTACAGAAATATCTGCATCAGTTACTTTACTCAACTTCACAAAGTTCTCTGGCAGTGTACCTCATTAGTAATCTTATTTTCACGAGAGTATTATATTTCAGAGATACTCTAAATACTGACTAAGTAGAGACCCTGTGAAATATCTACATTTTCTCCTCTCTGTGTTAGAACAAAACAAAACATACATGAACCTCTGTACTGTTTCCTTTGCTAAAAACCAAAGAGCCACTCCATTTGGATTAACTTACAGGGATAGAGTTCTTATAAATCTTTAGTTTGATGCAATTTTTTTAGTGTCTTAAAGCATAGTTGTACTTTGTAAACATCTGATTGATATAATATTGAAGTAAATATTACTGATCACAGACTAAATGTTTATTTTTATTCGTTTTTTAATTTTTATTTTGAATTGTGAATGTTTTGGTACAATTCCATAGCATATGGAATCCCCCAAGTTGCCCCAAAACTGATTTTCCCATATTATTACAATAGTATAGTTTTTCATAAGGAGTTATAATTCCATCAATCTGTTATTTAAGCATGCCCTGAGAATGCTGGTACAGAAATGTCAGATGGTCCAGCATCCCATTGCCTAGATATGTCCAACACTTTCACTAGGAGTCCATCTTTGATTTGGAAGTAGGGATGCATATTGCATTGTATCTTCACATCTGGATATGGTAGTCTCTATTACTCCATCACTACACATTCCCTTAAGCAAAAAGCCATGAAATAAGGTAAGCCACAGATATGAAGCTAAAACAATAACAACACCAAAATTAAAGCACCACGTGAAAAAAGATGCCTCTGGGTTTGAGCCTTGTTCAGCCATGTGGTTGGGGCAAAAGCAGATCCCTGCAGTGTGGTGGCTGTGTGGGGTGCCCCAGCCAGGCAGGACCCAGTGCTGAGGACTCAGGCCAAAGTCATTGTCAACAGGTGGTGACTGAGTCCTAAGGCCAGTGCACCAAGTGGTGCCAGGCTCTGCCTGCTGGACACCCAGCAGTGAGCTCTGGGGTTTTTAGGATATGTAATTGCTGCCTAGGGACATCCATGGATAAGCCCAGTGTGAGTGTAGGTGAAGGATGATTCTGGGTGATTCCCAGCAACAAGATCACAAAAATTTGGGGCAAGAGTGGGACTGAGGGGCCTGGCGGCATGGCCTAGCGGCTAAAGTCCTTGCCTTGAACCCTCCGGGATCCCATATGAGCATGGGTTTTAATCCTGGAAGCTTCACTTCCCATCTAGCTCCCTGCTTGTGGCCTGGGAAAGCAGTCGAGGATGGCCCAAAGCTTTGGGACCCTGCATCCCATGTGGGATGCCCGGAAGAAGTTCCTGGATCCTGGCTTCAGATAGGCATAGCATCCGCTGTTGTGCTCATTTGGGGAATGAATCATCAGACGGAAGATCTTCCACTCTCTCTCTCTCTCCTCCTCTTTGTATATCTGACTTTAGGGGAGTATCCATAAGATCTATTTGGGCCAGAATGATTCACCAGCTCAAGTGGGAATTCTGAGATGGGCTGTTAGCGTAGAACATCACTTACTTCCAAGCACCAGTCCACACAAAAACTATGGATGGGGCCTGTCTGGCAGGGTAGGTAGCAATATCTGACTGAGTGGTGGAACAATGGACGGGTCACACTTGGCAGTGTCAAGACAATCACCAGCATGAGAGAGAACCAGGTCCTGGGGTAGGTTCTGTGGGGGATGTGTAGGCCCAACCCTGAACCAACAACAGTCTGGGCAGGTCAAGGAGGCAGCATCCGAATGTGCATCCTACAGTAGGATGTGGGGTGGGCCGAGCTGCAACTGGAAGGGAGCAGACTGGGCAGAGCCAAGCAAACTTCAATTCACCAAAAAGAACAGAAATCAGGATGGAGCACAGGTCATTCCGACCTAGGCTCTTACACTGACTGATCTGCATGAGCCAGGGATACTATGCCACAGCATCAAAGGTAAAGACTAAGACAGGTGAGGGCCTAAGCCAACTGGGTCAGAGCAACCACTGGAATGTGCATAACCTAGGGCTGGGAATAGGCTCGGTTGGGGAGCTGTGAGAGTACACCCTTGCTTTGCTGGGGTTCCCATGGGAGAGTGCAGGGGCCAGAGTAGGGGCTGCATTCTGGTCTGGATTTTGCTGCAATCTCCCTTGGCACAAGTGTGAACTGGGGCTGGGTACACCAACCTGGGCTAGACACCAACATCATCTGGTGTTCTGCAGAACCTGGGTAGATATAGGATGGACTAGACTAGGTCTCTGAGCCATGTGTAAGCATTGTCTGGGTATGGACAAGCCTTGGCTGGGCTGAAACATCCAACAGTAAGAACCAGAATGGATTGAAGGCCAGCAAGGAGGGCTGGCCCATGGACCCACCAGTATGTGCAAGATCTGGCATAGGGAGAGGTTCTGCTGGAGGAACTTAGGAAACTTCTCTGTTGGGACACAGTCCCTACAGGTGAGTGCAAGAACCACGCTATGGAGCAACCCAGACCAGGTCAGAGAAAGATACTCACTGGCATACATTTGGCATAGGTCGGGGGCACCAGACTGAACAAGTTCACATCAATCGCTGGTGAATCCAAGCACCAGAATAGAGTGTGGGTGGGGTCAGGTTCAGTCGCAACACAAATCAGTGAGTTTAATTGGCATTCCTTTATATGTCAGTTGATATTTTAAATGTGCACATTTAAGGATCTTTTCCTTATGTTCGATGGATGAGTGCTTGATTATCATGTGTCGTGCTGAAGTTTTCTTTTGGTCAACCATGTCGGGCGTTCTGTGCCCCACCTGGATACTGTTTAGCAATTCTTTCAATTAGGGAAACGTTACCTTATTATGTCATTAAATGCATTTTTAAACATAATTTCTCTTTCTGCACCATCTCCCATAACTTATATTTGGACTTTTAGTAGTGTCTTTGAATTATTGAATACTTTTTCTTGCTTGACCCAGCTCTACTTCCAGCTTTTTAATTGTTTCCCCTTGGCAATAGGAAATGTCTTCCAATTCTGAGATTCTTTCTTCTGTTTCATTCATTCTATTTTGGACACTCCACTATACTTCTAATTTGCTCCACTGTATTCTTAATGTCTGATATATCAGCTTTCATTTGATTCATTTCCTGTGTGATATATTCCTTAAATTCATTGGACTCCTGTATTATGTGTTTCTCATTGCTGTTCTGAAGCTTTATGCTGAGTTTTCTGGATTCCGTGTCCCCCATTTTCCCGATGTATTCCTTAGTTCACTCAGAGGTTGGCAAAGGCTTTTGCTCCTTTGCTGGAGATTCTTTGGTAATGTCCATAGTGCCCCTGTCTCTTCTTTTACTTTTGTCATTGCAATTCTGGTTGATGGATTCTCTTCTTTAGTGCATGGTTCTAAGATGTATTACCTATGGGTCTACAAGTCAATGTTTATGTTCATTCAGTGTCCTGGATTAGGAAAATGCCAGCTGTTCTAAATAACTGATTTTTCAGCAGCACTGATCTTGTCAACACGTGCTGGCTGTTAAGTCTGAGTGCCACCTGGAGTTATTTTGATGGAGTCTGTAGGGTCCAGAATGAGCCCACTCTGGGCCTTTCCTTCAACTCTGCACTGTCTTCTTCACCACCCAAGACGTCGCCCCGGCTCTGTGCTTTGAGTTCCATCCTGCCAATGGTCCACCATAGGGTTAGAGTTCACTGCTCTTTCTCTGCTTGTTGCTGGGCCAAACAATTCAGCAGGGATTGGCAGGTCTCAGACTGCATTCACCTCCTGAGCTCCCCGCATGAACCCAAGCTCCCACCTAGCTGACACAAGAGCTGGGCTAGGACCACCACTGGATCCCTGGCTGTCACTGTAGTCCAGATCACCACTAGCCAGCCACTGGTGGGCTTTCTGTTCACTGCAACACTGCTCTGCCATTGCTGCCACTTCCCTGTATCCAGTGGGCCTCCAGGTACTCCCTGCCTACAGCCTGACCCCTATCTTTTCCTGTAATCTGCTGCTTGTGTTTCACCCTGTCTAAATATTCTCTGTTATCCCAAATTTGTCTGCACCCTATACTGCTTTCTTGTCTCTGTTTTTTTCCTTTATGTATTTTTGTTAATTAGATTGCATTATGTGACAGTTTCATAAGCTCTGGGATTCCCCCAACCCCTTCCCATACTCTCCCCCCATTGTGGATTCCTCTACCTTGTTGCAGTAGTACAGTTCAAATTCAGTCAAGATTCTTTCATTGCACATCTTGTCTCTGTTATGCATTATTTTTAGCCTACTTGACTCTGCTAATGTTGGAAAGACATGCTCTGGCAAGATTTTATGTCTTTCATTTCAGAGATTAATCCTTTAGTGCAGTTTTTCTGTGGCATGTGTTTTCTATGACATTTTTAATTTGTATCTGTGTAACAACTTTCTCTTTATGATGCCTGGTGTTAAATATTACTTGTTTTTATATTTTGTGCATATGTATTATCTTCAGAGAGTGTGTGTGTGTTTGTGTGTGTTGGATACATGTTTGATTCCACCTTCATTTTGAAACTTCATCATCTTGATTTATGTGCGATGAGTGTTTGCTCTGTGAGCCTCCTTGCATGTTTGCAACTCCACAGGGTTGGGTCTTTTCTGTGCAGCACATCATCCCCTCTATTCAGGGTAAACTGAGTATTGGTTTCAAAAGGCAATCACTACATGTGTGTGATTAACGAACAGCCTTTTCTGAACTCATTTACTCACATATTCACTAAACATAAAACTAACATTCCTGGTATAAATACTACTAGCACCTTGTAATAATTTTATTTCATTTTACAGGGAGTAAAAATTGTGGAGGTTTGCTTCCTTCAATTTGTATGTTCACATTTCTTTTGATTATAGATTTAGCACCAATTATTTCTTAAAAATTTTTATGCATCTTTATGCACCTGTTTAAAAGTGGTTTGATATTAGCAACTGACCTGACACCTCCAGCTGCCAAGTGGCCTCTTCTGAATGAGTTCTGGAATTAAAATAGCATCCATACAAACCAGCATCTGGGAAAGTGACTTCCTTTAGCTTCAGGGACACGATTCCATCAACAATGCCATCCTTCAGCAACTCAGTTCTTTTCTGATACTCTGCCATCTGCACACTTTCTTGATCTTTCCCTGCCTTGTAGAGGTGGACTATGGCAGAGAAGCGATTCCTGAAGAACCGCACTTCCATGGCCTCTGCATTTGTCTTAGGAGAGAGCGAGCATGAGAACACCACATCCTCTCCCACGAAAGCCTTGATGGAATCGTCTGGTCCAGTCAGCTGCCATTGGCCTGTGGGAAAAAACACAAAGATGGTTAAGCAAGATCCATGTCAGTGTGTCCTACCGAGGGCTGCAGTGAACTGGTGACGTATGTGGACAGACTGTTATCATGATCTTTTTAAACCAAGTGGCTCTTTCCTGTTTCTAGTCATACTGTTGCAGAAATGTCTGCACCTGTTACTTCATTCAACTTCACAAGCATCTCTGGCAGTGTGTGTTATTAGCATTCTTACTTTCAAGAGAGTACTATATTTCAGAGAGACTCTAAATGTTATCTAAGCAGAGATCCTCTGAAACGTCTACATTTTCTCCTCTCTGTGCTAGAACAAAACAAAACATGCAACAGCCTCTGTTCCATTTCCTTTGCTGAAAACCAAAGACTTGCTTTATTTCCATTAACTCACAGGGATAGATGTCATATAAATCTCTAGTTTGATGTGATTTTTAGTGTCTTCAAACCCATAATTGTATTTTATAAACATTTCATTGATGTGATATAGGAGTAAATATCACTGACCACAGACTAAATGTTCACTTTTATTTATTATTTTAAATATGCTTGGTTCTGCTAAAATTGGAAGCACATGCTACAGGATGACTTTGTGACTTTTTTTTCATGGATTGACTCTTTAGTGCATTCTTGCTGTGGCATATCTTTTAACAGCTTTTTAAAAATCTTATACCTGTGTAATAGCTTCTCTCTTTATAATGCCTCGTGTTAAATAGTCCTTGTTTCTTCTCACTGGATGCCAGTAAAGGGAACAAAGGCATCAAGCCTAGATTTATCAATTAGACACATAACAGTAAGAGTGGCAGGAAGTTCCTTCCGTCATTGATCTTCCTTCTCCACAGTCTAACTCAAAGTCAGAGTTACTGCCACTCAGCTTCTCATTGATCCAGGCTCTCCTGGGAATGGACACAGAGGAAGAAACTCCTGAGATGAGTTGTCTCTAACCTGAGCAATGCCACTCATTTTCCAAGTAATTCATTCCTGCTAGATCTTTCTTCTTTTAGTCATCTCTATGTGGCAGCAATTTTGATAGACTCTAAGAGTAAAGATAATAGTAATTGCTAATAATAAGCTCTACAATTATTAATTAATGTTCTATGCTTTTTTTGATTGTTTTGTTAGAGCTTCTAACAGCGCTGTGATAGTTTCATATTTTGGAGGGGAAACAGTGTAGAGTGAGTTGGAGAACCTCAGAATGGACTCCCACTGTGCGGTTCCCACCACTACCAGCACTTCCCGCAGCCTGAGCTGTACCAGTAAACCCCTGGCTTGGATTCTGCATGCTGCATGTCCTGTCCCAGCACAACCAGCCATCATTCATTTGCCTTTTTTTTTTTTTTTTTTTTTTACCCCAGGAGCTTCCCAAGAACTCAGACTAGACATTATGTAGTTGACTCAGGGGTTCAGCTTCTCTCAAACTCTCACCACTGAAGCTCCCAATCAACCACTGCATTGATAGCGCCTTCCTTCACAGACCTAATCCAGAATTGTTTTGCGTATCTTGTTGTATGTGTTTATATGATCATTGTTTATTGTTATTAATTATTTTTAGTTTTTTTACTAACAATATTTGTGGGGAACAGGGCAATATTTCAACACATGCACATGGTTATAAACCAATGAAACCAGGCAATCAGCATCTCTACCTCCCTCTCTCCTCATTCTGTCAGGCTATTTGGTACTCTCCTCTAATTTTGTATATGATTTACAATATTTTACTGTGAAAGTAAGCTGGTAGTAAGTAAAATATGACTTTGCGTAATGATCTCTGATCAGCTTTTTATCTACAGTAGCAGAGACTGAGGTCCATAACTTCACCTGAGTATCGCTGTGGTATAGTGTGGTTTTTCCATGCCCTTTGGAAGCTCTGCCTCAGGAACTTGGCCTCTGCATTTCCAGCCTTTGAGACTTACTGAGTCAGGCAGGTCAGCTTACACATTGTGAGAGTGTAGTCACCCTGAGAGCACACCACAACCCTAGGGAAGCTGGAGGCAGTACACTGACCTCCACCAACTTTTACGTTGTGCTGATACAATTCTGAGCCTTCAGTTTCGGTTGCTCTTTGGTTCCAGTTGCTCTCAGCATAGCACTCTTTAGCAACCCTCCATGGCATTTCTACCTTCAGGCTTCGCTCTCCTCAACTCTTCATTTTGGTTTTCTGGGATTACCTGCTAAATAAGCCACCAGCACACTATCCCTAGCCCTAAGTCTGCATTGGGGGATCTGGAGCTCCAGAAGAGCTCTTACTTTTATGTCTTCAAGACAATGTGAAACTGCTGAGGTGAGGGGATACTTTTTTCCAGAGAATCTGTTTCTTTGCCCAGCTCTTGATGCCATCATGTGTCTCACAATAACTGCTTTCACTGCTTGCTCTTTCTTCTCCAAGGGAGTGAAGATGAAAAAACTCCTCAGTTTAATACATTGTGCAACAGTAGAGACCTACGGCACACAATCTAAATATAAAAGCTCGTGCAGTCCTCACTACAACCCTATCAGGAATGTGAAACTAGCTCCATATCATGGCAATTGAAACTTTAAAAGTCATGAGGCATAGATCTTACAAGAAGAGGGATTAGGAATGCCAAGCATTAAAATCCTTCTGACACTTAGGTCATTTCCATGATACCCTGCTACATTTCCAGCACCACAGAGGTAAAGAAACCCACCGGGAAAATAGATGGGAAGGAGCAGACTTGTGGTTACTCCAGCCTCTGACTTCCTTCACTTTTTAAAAATCAAATTATTTAACATTTTGTTCACCAGTATTTGCATTGAATGGTAATTGGGAAATGAGAGAAGAGTGAATTTTTCTCCATCATAAGCTAGGCTCCAAGTCAAAGAACTGTGTGCTTGTCATAGTTTCAGGTTACATATGACAGGTGTTTCTAACCCAGATAACCCCAGGTAGACCATTGTCATTTTCTCAAAGACACCACATAGTACCTTCTTCCGTCCAGGCAACCATATTAGAAACCTAGATAGTCTACTGGAGAACCCACTTGCTAGGTCAAATATTTAACATGTATCTCAGCATTTGCAATAAGTCTCCTCCTTGTCACCATGACAGTGTTTCTGGGCTACTATAATAGCAGCTCTGGTGCATGATGATTCAAACTGCTACTCAACAAAAGTGGACAGAAGAAGATTGTTCTGGATGCCTTACCTGATCCCAGCTTGAGAAGACTGAAAGCCAACATGAACACCAGGGCCGTGGAAGTGCTCTCATGGAGTGATTCCATGCTGTAGAAAGAGATGATGGCAGGGATGGGTTGAGAGAGAAATCGAACCAGCTGTCCTGCATACAGGAGCCATGCTGAAATTCAGCACGAACTGATGAAAAACTGAGCTATTCTCATAGTCTGTCTCCCCTCCATGAACATAGCTGAGTGCCACGAGTATGGGAACTTTGGACTTTCTTAGCTGTAAACATATCCTGCTTCTGAGAAGCAAAGAAACATAGGTGGCTTGCAGTGCAGTCAGATGAACTTTGTTCTGGGTGGTGTCAGGAAAACACCTGATATAGAGATAGTTTCAGGTCCGGGCTAGCAGATGAAGCTGAATGGAGGTTAGAAATCTCTTTCTGAAAACCCATCCAAAACTTAGGCACAAATGCTTATAGCTAATTTACTTAGAAAAAATTTTGAGTGACTAACATTTCTTCTATTGGGGGATAAATAAATTGGTACATTCCTACATTGAAATATGCTCCGTGACAAGAGGAGATGAGCCATCAAATCTCAAAAGGGCATACAGGAAACTTAATTATATGCAAGATCTTCAAAAATAAAATATAAAATGTACATTATAAAAATGCATGTATTTAAGTATTTTCACAGTGAAATAAACTTCAATTTTATTTTTCCCATGTTTTTTAAAAATGTCTTCATATGTTATTAAGTGAAAGCAGCCAGAATGAGAAGTTTATATACAGCATGATTCTAGCTACATAGTATCAAGAGAAGAGAAAACTATAGATAATAATAATAATTAAAAGCGAAAACCACTAATTACCAACGGCCTGGGATAGGTTGAAGAAAGAAAGGGGATAAACCAGCAAAATATAGATTTTTGTTTAACCATGAAACTATTCTAAATGAGATTATAATGGTGAGTATAGTACATCAGGCATTGTCAAACATAACAGAAATAATGTTAATTAGTAATATATTAGTGTTAATTTATTAATTATAGTAGTTATAAAAAAACTATGAAAGTATGATTGTCTTAGAATTGTAGCTATGAGGCTGGTGTGCTGGTCTGTAAGGTTAATCCTCCCCTTGTGGCATCCCATATGGACATCCCATATGGACATCAGTCATGTCCCAGCTGATCTGTTTCTTATCCAACTCCCTGTTAATGACCTTGGAAAGCAGCGGAGGATGGCCCAATGCCTTGAGCCCCTGAAAATTCACAGAAGCCTCAGAAGAAGCTTTGGAACAGCCCAGCTGTGGCCATTTTGTCTATCTGGGGAGAGAACCAGAGAATGGAATATTTCTCTTACCTTCTTTCCTTTTTCTCTCTCATTCCCCCTCTCTCTGTAATTCTCTGTAACTCTCTGCAGCTCTCTCTGCACTTCTTTCTGTAACCTACATCCTTTGTGATTCTTTCAAATAAAATTAAGTTTTAAAAATAGTTGTATCTATGAAATATGTAAAATCTGTTCTCTTTATATTAAAAAAATTAAATGCCTATTTAACCTAAAAAATACGTTACTAATAAGTGAATCAGTGAATAGGTGAGGTAGGAAACACATTTTCTTTGCAATTTTTCTGTAAAATCAAAAATAAAAAAAAAAAATCCTTCATTTAAAAAGCTTTTTGTACAATGTATTAGATAAAAAGTTTTATCCTTGGCCCGGCATGATAGTGTAGTGGTAACGTCCTGGCCTTGCACATACATGGTTCCCATATGGGTGCTGGTTCTAATCCCGACGGCCCCACTTCCCATCCAGCTCCCTGCTTGTGGTCTGGGAAAGCAGTCGAGGACGGCCCAAAGCCTTGGGACCCTGCACCCTCATGGGAGACCTGGAAAAGCTGAACTGATCCTTGGAGCTAAGAAGCTGTAAGCAAGGCATGAAAGGATTATGATTAATGACAACATAAGCGACTAGATGTGATTTGTTTGCATTCTGTGCCTGCCTTATTTTATTTAATATAATGTCCTCCATTGCCATTCCTAGTGAAAAGTGAGAGTTTCATCCCTTTTATGTATTAATAACATAAACATATATCTATATATACATCACATTTTCTTGATTTATTCTTTTTCTTACCACTGGTAGATACATAATTTGATTACACGTCTTTGCTATTGAACAATACAGGTTAGACGATTGTTCAACATGATGTTCTCAATTCCTTTTGACAGGCATGTGTTAGTGGGATCACATGGAATTGCTGGATTATACATTGGTTTATTTACAGATTTTTTTTTCTCTTACGTTGCAAAAACATTTCATATTTTATCATGTAGAGTTTAATTTAAAATTATTATTATCATATACTGTTTGTATATTTGTATGGGATACAGGGCAATATATATTCAGCATGAAACAAAGAACCATTGAAATGCTCCATTTCCTTATCTTTTATATGTGTTTTTAGTCTACCAGCTCCTCTGTTCTAATTATGTACAGTATATAATGCATTATTTTGAATTATAGTCAACTCACTGTGCTGTGAAATACTAGAATACATTTATATTAGAAGCTGTTTCAGTCCTGTTGTCCATTTCCCTCTAGCTTCTCCCCATTGATCTAAGTTCACATTAACTATTTGCTTCAACTGCCACGTATGAAAGTGAAAACGTGGTGTTTGTCTTTCTCTGTATGTCTTATTTCACTTAATATAATGACCTATAGTTCCTTCTAGTTTGTTGCTAATGTGAAGATTTATTTTCCTATGGCAGAAAATGTTGCATTGTGAGTATATTCCAAATTTACTTTATCTAATTCACTATTGATGGACATCTGGGTTTATAATTTATCTTGGCTATTATAAATAGTGATGCAATGAGTATGATATGCAGGCATTGCAAATGACATAATTTTTTAATAAAACCTATGTCATTTCACAGAAAGCTTACAGAGAGAGAGAGAGAAAGAGAGAAATCTTCTACCCATTCTATCTGAATGGTTACAATAGCTAAACCAGATCAAACTGAAAGCACGAGTCAGAAAATTCATCCAGATTTCCCACAAGGATGTAGGGGCCCGAGGAGTTGGATTACATTCTGCTGCTCTCAGGAGCATTAGCAGAGAGCTGCATTAGAAGTGGAGCAGCTGGAGCATCAATCCGAACCCATTTGAGATGCGATGCCAGTATCCCAGGCAGCAGCTTACTGTGCTTCGCACTATGTCATCCCTAAATGGTGTCTTAACTGTTAAATCAGATGCCTACCTCAATCTATTTTTAGTTTTTTGAGGAACCTCCAGAATGTTTTACATATGAGTAATTTAACATATTATATTATATTAACAATATAACATTAACAATGTGTCAGAGTTCCCTTTGCCACACATTATTGCCAGCATTTACATTTTTTAATAGTAAACATTCTAACTAGAGTGAAATGATACCACCTTGTGATTTGGATTTGCATTTCAATCATTGTCAGTGGCATTCAGCACATTTTCATGTACCTGTTGGTGCTCATATATTTTCTTTAGCTATTCAGATTAGTTGATCATTTTTTAACTTGGCTTTGATTGTTGTAGAACTTCTTTAGTTCCTATTTCTTTTGGGATATTAACCCCTTGTCAGGTTAATGTTGATTATTTCTTTGCAGTGCAGAAGGTTCTTCATTTGATACAATATCATTTGTTTCTTCTGCATTTGTTGCTTGCACTTTTGGGGTATGATCCCAAAAAATGATGACTTAAGCCAATGTGTGCGGGTGATCCCTCTGAGGAGACCCAGACCTGAGGTGTGTTGACCGCACCGAGAAAGCCTGGGACACAGGGCTTGCAGGTGAATGAAGCAATGCACACTTTATTGAACTCAACAAGGTATGTATACGCTAGGCATGTTACCTAGACAAACACAGAAAGCCTCTAAAGATAGCTGACAAGGAAATGATGTAACAATCACTGTAGCAGCAGCAGAATACTAATGC